ATGAAGAAGAAGTCAAACAGAGAGAATAGGCATTCTGGTTTCAGCCTCACCTGAAGTCCCAGCAAACAGCCACTATCAACCTCTAGCCATGCGTGTGATTCCAAACCCCACCTTCTGAGCTGACCCGGCCGTGGCTGCATGGAGCAGACAAGCTGTCCCTGCCAAGCTCTGACCTCACTGTAGATTCGTGATCATAACAAATGTTCTTTTAAACCACTAAGTTTTGGGATAGTTTGTTACAAAGCCATAGAGAATTGGAACACTATCAATACTTTGGAAGCCTCTTGTATGCCCCTCCCTGTTTGCATCCTCCTTCTACTCCTCCAGAAGTAACTAGTGTTCTAAATTTATTACTAATAATTCTCTTGGTTTCTAAAAATCAATTTTACCACTTACATAAGTACCTCTCAACAATGTATTGTATTTTCAATAAATAGGTTAACTCATACTCATATACTTCTAGGCTTGCTTTTTTGATATAACATGATTTTTGGGATTCATCCATGTTGATATTCTATTCCTTTTTTTGGTGTTGCATAATATTCCATTGGGTGACTATACTGCAATTTACTTATCCATTCTCCTGTCAATGGGTATTGGACTGTTTTTTTGCTCTTATGATGATGACATGAACATTTTTGTATGCCTCCTGGCACATGTATAAGAGTTTCTCTAGGGTAAATAAGCAGATACATGTACATTAAACTGGACTATTCATGTAAAATTACTTTCCAGAGAAGGCTGTATCAACTGATGCCGTCACCATCAATGCACATCCTGGTGTTCCACGCTTGGGATTGCCAGACTTTTAAATTTTATCATTCTGGTGCATGCGTACATCTGCTTACTAAATAGACTTTCAACAAATCTCTATTTCCCCTTCCAGAGGAGATGCTGCCATACGGGAGAGAGCATGCTGGAGGATCTGTGGTACAAATCAGGTTGCTTCTCAGCTTCCCCCCCTGCAAGCCAAGTCAGCCTTCTCAGGTCTGCTAAGAGGATCATCACTAATCTATTTTCCAGCTTTCAAAATTCGGTGGCTATCATTTATTTCTCTCCCATTATTTTTGCCTTTGTGAGATAATGCCTTAAAAACATCCTCTGGCTGTGTTTTCATGCAGTTTTAAGAGGGAGTTAGAATTAAATGCATGTGTTGAAGGCATAATCTTTTGCCATGGATTGATTTCAAAAATTTTAATAGGTTTTTTATTTCTAAATGTTGTTTTGGCTTGTTTTAAAATCTATTTGCTCCTTTCTGTTGTTCCTGTTTCTTGCTTTCTGATTCCATCTTTTTTTCTTAAGACATATATACAGTTATGACGTAGCTGATATTGCCTTTCAGGGTTTATATGTGTTGTTTATTTTGAACTCATTCAAGTGGCTTGTTTCCCTGTGAGTTTCATAATTTTGTGAGCTCATATTTGGTTGAGCTTAATTTGTGACAATCTTGAGGTTCTATATTAGGGGTCAGCAAACTACGCCCCAAGGGCCAAGTCCAGTCCATTGCCTGTGTTTGTAAATGTTTTCTTGGATCACCGCCATGCACATTCATTTAAGTACTTACTGTCTATAGCTGCTTTTGCACTACAATAGCAGAATTGAGTAGCTGCAGACTACTCAATTACAGACACTGCACGGCCTGCAAAGTAAAAAATATTTACTCTCTGGCCCTTTACAGAAAAGTGTGCCAACTTCTGATGTAAATTATGGATATTTTCTCCAGAGAAGATTTATATTTGTTTCTGCCAGGACCAGGGGAGACTCATGACCTGTAAGAACCTTAGCCTTCTTTGAGAACTCATGCCAGACTTGAGCCCACCAATAGATCAAGGCCTTCAGACTATCTATTCCACTACACTGCTAGAAGCAGCAATACAGTGTCTTCTTTGACTTATGTTGTTTTTATTTCAAGATGGTATGGATCTTTTTTCATTTAAAGGGTAGATCCTTTTAACCTAGGGATGCATGTCCTTTTGTGGAACTTTTCTTGTATTATTTAATAATTTCCTTACCTCCTTAAGTCTTTTCTGTTTTCTCTTTCTTAAATTCCTACTATTAAAATGTTAAACCTTCTGACTTGATTCTTTAATTTTGTCTTATTTTCTATTTCTTTGTCATTTGGTTATACTTTCAGGGCGAGTCCCTCAACAACTTCATCTTCTAACCCCTCTAATGAATTGCTTTGGCTATCATTTTTAATTTTCAGGGGCAGTTCCTTGCTCCAAATTTTCCTTTTCAAAGCATCCTCATTTAATACATACAACATCCACTCTTTCAAAATATTAATTATATACGGGGGTGGATATTTTTCTGATCCCTGAATTGTATCTACCCTGCCAATGTCTGATTTCTTATTATTAGATTTTCCTCAAATATCTGGTGATCCTGGTTCTAAGTTCATATTTAATAGTAGGCATTAAAGAGCTGAATGGAAACCCCATGTATACATATATGACTTGGAAATTAATGGGCTCCACTGAAGAGTGATAAAGTGGCAAGCAGGCTTTTCATCAAGGCACACCAAAAGTGAGTGAGTGGAGATCTTTTCTCTGGGGCCAATTAGTTTCTCCAAAGAAAAAATCCTGGCAGAGAAGCCTGTATCTGATGGTTATCATTCTGGGAACACAGTTAGGGAACCCACATTCAGAATGCAAATTTTCACTTAATCCATATTTTTAACCTATAACTAATCCAAGCCTTCTGTTACCCCTGGTATCCTATAGTCCTATCATCTTTCACTTCTGTTTCTCAAGAGAATTAACCTCTGGCCTCCTGCTCAAACAAGTAGAAGAACAGGAAGTGGTCTCCTGACTTAAGTAAGGGTAGAGAAGGATAGTTCAATGATTCTGTATAAGACTTGCAACCAATCTTTTTTTTTTTTTTAGTAAGGAAGATTAGCCCTGAGCTAACATCTGTTGCCAATCCTGCTCTTTTTGCTGAGGAAGATTGGCCCTGGGCTAACATCCATGCCCCTCTTCCTCTACTTTATATGTGGGACGCCTGCCACAGCATGGCTTGATAAGCAGTTCGTAGGCCCGCGCCTGGGATCTGAACCTGCGAACCCTGGGCCACTGAAGCAAAGCATGTAAACTTAAACACTACACCACCGGGCTGGCCCCCAATCCTTTCGTTTTTATGTTCCAAGCACCCTCTCTGAATATGAGCACCTGATTCATCCAGGTACAAGCATCTTTGCTGGATACTGAAGGTATACTGGCTTCTTTCTCACTGCATTGCCTTTTGCAGGCACTCAGATTATAGAGCTTCCTTGGTTCTGGCTCTGCTAAATCAGTCAGTCTTTCTCTACCTGCATTTTGTTTTCCAAAAATTTATTGAACTCTATTATCTTTTGATTTCTTCTCTCCCGTTTTGTCTTTGTGTGGTTACACTTTACTGTCATTTTACTCAGATCACAGGAGAGCAAGAAAATAAATTGCTAATCTGTAATATTTAGCTGGAAGTCTTCAAGTTGAATTGTAAATAATCCTAAAATATCGGCCATGGAAATGTTTTCCATGCTTTTCTCTTCCTGAAGTACTCTAATAAATCTTACTAGAGATCTCTTAACAATGGAACAAATAAAGAAACAAAAGGATGACTAAACACTGAACAAATAGGACTATGAAATCAAATATACTGGCAAGAAACAGAAATTTGTAATGCAGGTCACATTTTAATATAGTTTAAAAAACACTTCCAAATATAACTACAAATTTAATTAGGAAAAATACCTGAAAGAAACATGTATCTTAATTAACCATCAGTACATTATTTTAAAGAATTATTTTCCTGATTCCTTGGCTTACTTCATTGGGTTTATAAAGGTATAAACCTACTGATTTTTCCATTTGAGTATTTTGTACTAAATGTAGTTTTTCCCAGCTGATAATTATATATAAACCTGCTGACAAAAATTATGTTTTATATAGGGAGAAAAGTTTCCCTTAATAAGTTGGTAAAGACTGTAAGTGATACTTTTAAACTTTTGATTTACTATAAAGTAGCAATTAGTAAAATCCACACCCTTCCCAAAAAATTCAGTTTCTACTGCAAAAATCTTTATAAAAAATGTACTTTGAGTGCAATACAATCTCCATTTTCTTTTAAATCAACAAATACATACCAAAATAATTCATCATGAAATCAGAACAAAGAAATATTTAACAGTATCAGGTTTCCTAAGGAAAATATTAGTGTGGAAGACATCCAAGGAGTCTAAAATGCTTTTGTTGTGGCAATACCAAGACTTCAGGTTGATGCTCATACTATTGTTAAAACAGCTCTCCCCCCTTTACAGTGAAAACTCAGTGCATATTCCTTTATACATGAAAAAACAAATTTTTAAAAAGTATCAATTTGCTTTAAAATAATTATTTAACTCACCTTGAAAACACAGATTGGATATGATAAATCCATTATTTAACAAATTGGGTTTCTAATGACCTAAAGAAACTGGCTAAAACCCATGGAAGGTTCAGGAAGCTATGATGCAGGTCAAACAAGAGGGAGAGAGGTCAGATGCTTTTTGTGGGGTGGAAGAGCGACAATTTTAATGCTACTTTGAAATAGTGAAACATTTTGGGCTCATCTCTACTATTTTTAAAACATAGCAGTAAACCAAAAATATTAAAACACGAACTCTATCTCATACGCAAAAACAATCTTCTGCTACATACATAAATACAAAGTGCTTGTAACTAACATACAACACTAAAGAAGTCAACTCTTAAGATCACGAACGGCCTGTGTCTCACTGCCAGCAATGAGAGTGGTATATGCTAAGGGTGCCATGATATTTACAAAAGCCAAAAAATATATATATGCAATTATTATTTCCTTAGTTCTAATGTTATCATTATACCATGGAGCATAAAATAATCCTCTCTTGACAAGATAGTTAAAACAAACAGATTATATTATGGAAGACTAAAATGCAAGGAAATCCTTCTTAGAGATTTCTGACAATTAAGTGTTAGTGCTAGTTCATAATAAAAAACATGAAGAGAACACAATTCTGGGGAAAAAAAAAAGACTAATTTATTTGTTATATAAAATAAAATATAACGAGAGATCTTAGTTTAGATAGTCAAGAGGTGACAGCTTTAGGTGTCATCTTAACCAAGAATAAATTCATAGTATTTCTGATTCACTTAAATATGACAGGAAAGGAAATTCTAATTCCTTCTACCTGCCCAGTCACTTCAAAAATTCTTCTTATGGAAGTTAAAATAAAAATACCTTTGTTTTTGGTTATTCTTTAAAGGAAAATTTCCAGGTGCCCTGGAGGCAATGAGTTCAATTTGGTGTCTTCTTGTGTTCTGAGAAAGAACAATAAGTTTACACTGAGAGCTCAGCTTTCAAATGCTGTGACCAATTATTTGCGAGTTATAATCTGCAGGTTCCATTTTTAAAATATGTGGGATGACACTGTCAATTCGTACATTGCCAATGAGACCTTTGAAAAACAATTCTTCAGTGATGGTAGCATTCATCAGTCTTAAAGCTGGCAATCTGAGTAGTAGTCTGGACAACCTAAAAAGCAAAAAAGGGGCAGAGGGGAACAGGTTGTAAATCAAAAAGAGATTTAGTAGAAAAATGAGTAATTTCAATACATATATTCTTGGTGGACTACTTTAGTAAAGACCTAATTTTCAAAAGGTAAAATAAAAACTGGTATTCTCAAGCCTTAGAGTGTATGACAATCACCTGGATATAAATGCAGTCTGACAGACTTCCCAGGAAAGCCTTGCTCTTAACTGCTATGCTGTGCTGCCTCCCCTTGGCTGCATGGACCATGGAACCAAGTTATTAAACCATGGCTCAAGTTATACATGTAAGTAAGAATGGCTTAGGAACTCGTTTGAGGTTGTAAGAACAGCAATGTTTTGTGTTATCAGGACACACGAGGCTCAGTGATCATAGTTTTCTTGGTTTTGCTTTGCAAAAATACTGGAAATGGTAAAACAGGCAATAGTTATGACTGGGAAGAGCAGAGAACATGGAATTGAGACCACTGGTTTCAAATCTTGACTCAACTGCCCTCTAGCTGTGTGAAGGTGTGTAAGCCACTTAATTCCTGTCTCTCAGTGTTGTGGTAAAGATTAATGCAAGGATCCCTGCCAGTTTCTGTGCTAGTGAGGTTCTTAGAGGCAAGACCATGTTTTGTGTGAAAGTACACTATAAGTTGAAAACTGCTATCCAAAAATAATTTCTTAGTTTTAAATAATTAGGAATGTAAGAAACTGAGAAAGAGTTCCAGAGCTCAGTCAAAGCACCTGGAACCTAAGGGAACAGAGCTCAGCAAATAGCTCCATGTCAAAAAGGAGGAAAAATTTAAATACTGTATTTATTTGTATAATTATATATAAAACAACTTTTGAAACTTTAAAAAACTGAAAAATAAGCATAACAAAAGCAACAACAAAAGAACCACTTTTCCAAAAAGCTTGTGTTATTCTTCCTCTATTCTAAGGCCTTGCACTCTAATACTCGAGACCAAATGAAAGCAGCAGCCCAGGATTAAGTGATCTTCCTGTAGCCATGTACTCTACTCCTCAAATTACTCAGTTCCTATTTGTTCCCACCAGCTGAACTACATCAGCAGAAGTGAGAGGAAAACTGGTTAGATAAACTAAGTCTGATTTTCATGATGGAACTGGCTTATAAATCTATTATTTAATATATGTAAAAAATTACTTTATGTAAAAATGTTCTTTTACTAGTTTGAAGTATGTTAAATTAATAGTAATATTAGTAAACACATTTATATAGCCCTTACTGTGTAATGGGCACTGTTCTAAGCTCTGTACATATATTAACTGACTTAATCTTTATTCTAATTGTAAAATGTGGGTACTATTATTATCTCCATTTTACAGGTAAAGAAACTGAAACCGAGAAGCTGACTAAAGGTCACACAGCTAGTAAGTGGTAAGGTCAGGAGTCAAACCCACGTACCTGGGCTCTGAGAGCTATGTGTTTATGTACTCTATGATACTGTCCCTCTTCAAAACTTGAGTCAATGTTATCAAAAAATAATTTTTTTCAAAGGACACTGGCAAGAAATATCTTGGTAGAAATATAAGCCACATTTCAAAATTATTTATAAAATAGTCTAATGTGTTTCTTTATTCATTCATATTTTTCCCCTTTTACAAATAAAATCCACTATTTCACCCTAAGAAAATAAAGAGTTTGGGTGCTTAAGTCAGACCACCTGGGTTCGCAGTCAGCTCTGCTATTTACTGTGTGTCCTTGAGCAAGTTACTTATCCTCTCTGTGCTGAAGTATCGTCTTACACAAAACTAAGAACTGGATGAAATATCACACGTAAAGCACTTGCAACAATGCACTCCTGCATTTAACAGCAGTAGCCATTTCAAAAGTCAAGGCTGACTAAAATATTGAATTACTCTTGGAATGGAAAATAATGAACAGATTCACAAAAAAGTTTTCAGATGAATTTAATTAAACAGTATTTAACTTCTAGATACCTGTAGGTGTCATCTGGATATGTTTTGGTTATATAATCTTGGAATTCCACATATGCCTTTTCCTGAAATTTCTCAATCTGTTCCATGTTTTCTAGGCCTGGATGATCTGAAATATTAAAGAATATATCATTACCCTAGTTCTGAATGCTCGTTTTATCGAGTACAGATGGAAGTGGGTGGGAAGAATAGTTCAGTTAAAAAAGAAGCCCCATCATATGTGTGGTTCTTTCATTCCACAAATATATTTAGCAGCCCACCTACCAAATACTAGGCACTGTACTTTAAACCCTTAAAACTATTTTATCTCATATACATATTCTAACTTCTAATAAAAACTGAGACCACTGAGTTCTACTAAAATAAATAGCTTTCTCTATTCCAAAAGTTGTGGGAGTTTGATCATTTTGCTTTCAAAAGGAACAAAAAATAAAATGACTCAGCTTAGTTAAAAAAACATTTTTAACACAATGAAATACTTGCAGATCATATTCTATACTATATTTTTCATAAGAAAAACCTTCCCACCATTGTTTGATAAAAAAGTACTTACGAAATTATAAAACTATGATCATCTCTACCAGAAAATTTATGATAACATAGAAACATGCAATAATCTATTTAAATATTTCGATGGTCACTATAAAATTTCACAAAAATGGAAAAAATTAAAAGAACTTCATGGGGCTGGCCCCGGTGGTGTGGTGGTTAAGTTCACACACTCTGCTTCAGAGACCCAGGGTTTGCAGGTTTGGATCCTGGGCATGGACCTATGCACCGCTCATCAAGCTATGCTGTGGCGGCATCCCATATACAAAATTGAGGAAGACTGGCACAGATGTTAGCTCAGGGCCAATCTTCCTCAGCAAAAAAATAAATGAATAAAAAGAGACGGCCGGCCCCGTGGCTTAACGGTTAAGTGCGTGCGCTCTGCTGCTGGCGGCCCGGGTTCAGATCCTGGGCGTGCACTGA